GTGAGAGAGATTCACAAATTGAAGCATATTTTCGTTTTTTCATTCCGCACAATGTGAATCAGTTTGTCGTTTCAGATACATCAAATTGTGACTCTCAACTACTGAAATTTCAGATTCTCAAATTATAGTCTTTGTGCAGTTGAGGGGCGTCAAAAATATTATATCCATATTGGTCTCAGATTCAACAGAATGTGATGAAATTTGAGAACTATCTGTCACACAAGGAATTCCTTGTAGATATCAGCGATGCAATATTGTGATTCGCTTTTGTGACATCAACTGCCATGAATGCGACATCTCATAGATGTTTGTGTTAACTGGGCTAAGGTGCAATTCTTCAGCAATTGTTCAGAAGTACCCAAAAGATCTGCACAATGAGTGATTAATTGCGTTTTAATGGCCTGATACTCAGCAGAAGTAATTCTGTTCAATCGGCCTATTACATGTAATGAACGAGTTTCAATTTTTTTAAATTCGTTTAGTGCATTATTTTGATCAAAATTATGCAGTAGTTCCTGTATCCCATTGATTTTTGATTCACAAATTCGAATTTCTTTGATCGGATCTATATTCACATCACAATGCATACCCATTTTCTCTAACTTCAAAAATAATCTCAATCTTTTGCGCTTGTCCTCGACAGATCCTTCTGGGAACGCTCCTCTGATAGTCAACTCATAGGAGAGTTCATCAGATAGTAACCTATTAACTTCCATCCTTTCCTCTTAATTTCCTACCCTACTCTAATAATTTATGGAGAAGAAAAAAAAATTAATAAAAAAAATAATAATCCCTATTTCACTAATAGCAATCAAAATACCCCCCCGGTTCCCCCGGAAAAGAGAAAACAAAAAAAAAAAAAAAAAAAAAAAAAAAAAAAAAAAAAAAAAAAAAAATAATAATAATTTTCACCAGAAAATATTTCTTTTTCCCCCTTCCCCTCTTTTTCTTTTTTTTTTTTTTTTTCACATCAAGGAAGAAAAAAAAAATTAACTTAACTAAACTATCCTTAATTATTATAAATCCCCAAAATTTAACCACTGTAGAAGAACAATTTGCAGACTCCAAAATCACCCAACTTTGTGTTCATCCAGTGAGCTTACCAGGTACGGCGTAAGTAATAGTAAAAAAAAAACTTGCAGATTAATGAATTTAAATTGAGAGAAAGGAAAAAAAAAATAAAGATGATGATTTTGACAGCGAAATGTTAACAGAAAAACCTTAATTGATCCTATACAACCTTCTCAAGGAACCACTATTGGGAAAAACCAGTAACAGTTACGAAACAACTTCATAATATACAGAAAACCCAAGAACTACCAGGAATTGTTTTTTTTTTTTTTGTTGGGCGCCATCTTGTTACATACCAGGGCAACAAAAGGGAAAGGTCGAGAATCCACAATTAAAAGTCAAATCGAAATATTTTTGAGCCTCGGCCCTAGGTCATAAACCCTAGTTGGACTATTATTAGGCTGGGAATTTACTTGGTTAGCTCATCACACCTCTTCAATAATATTGACTCTCAATTGTTACTAGAACTACAAGAAAGGTATTTAATGTGCACTAATAATGCCCTGTGACTTAAATAAGTTACTAGCACACAACCAGACTAGCTCCGTGGGTTCTCTGTATGGTAGTTTCCTGGGTTCACCCAATAAAACAACTAAATCGAACAAAAGGTTCTTTAATCCTTAAATAGGAATACTTTAGGTATTCATCCTCATTAATTTCAATCCCTGAGTCAACAACAAAAATGAATTCGTCAATTAAATAATGAACAGGTAAATTCAGAGTAGCAAGTACCTTCGCACAAGGGAGATCTCTCTTGGGGACAACGTATATTATTTTACAATGTGGTAATGTGAGGATTTGCCTATCATAACAGTTGGTATAACAGGAGTGATTCCTAAGTAAGGTCAATAACGTTTCATTCCGCAAAGATCACAAAATAAAGCAAACTATCAGTAATCAATATAGACAGTACTGAAATTTTTGTGCCAAGACACCAAACAAAAAAAAAGATATAGAGGCACTTAGCTGGACTCCTTGAGGATAACAAGGAGGACAGGTCCCATGGTGATGGTTGGTGTTGAATGTGGCAGTCCACCCCTAGACAGGAACTTCCTCCCTATCTGCGGATCCATGATCTTGACCCTGATCTTGACCGAGCTGAGAGACAGGTCGATGCAGGACAACAGGAACAGACTTCGAATTAGAATCACTGTTCTCTAGAGCTCCTAGGGCAGGCCTCATGTGCGAAGGTAGGTGGGAAGACGGAGAAGAACCCCAAAGGAAAAGCCCTAACGAGAACACCATACTAGGATCGATTTACAATTGTACAATAAAACGACTTACGTGGTTGTTGAGTGGCTTGCAAGATTTCTGGTGGCAAAAGGACACCAAAATGGCCGTTCTGCCGTAGTGATCCGCAACAAGCGGTAGTGTGGAAAGTACACAAAAATAACAAATCTCAGACTAACTATTTACTGAACTCATCGAAACTTTCCACACGTCGATACTGACACAGCAATATTTACTCCCCAAATAGGGATTCTCAGAACGAGAATAAAATTTAACAAACTGAAATTGCTCGTGCAATCGGTCAGAAACTTTTTTTTCCAACTGCCCTCCGTAATCACGTAGTCGTCCGCCCGTAGCAGCACTTGTCAACCAACCCAGAAAATTCTAGGAGCTCCAAAATAGATTCTAATGACATAGGCGTACCAAGCAAAAATATTCCGATATCTATGTTTTCCTGTGGCTAATTCGGATTGGTATCATTACAGTATCTCACAAGTTGAGTGAAATTGCAAGTGAATTACCTTTGCGACACTCCTACACTAGGAAAAACGGGAATTCAAGAGGTACACCCCCTACACGACGCCACTGACAATAGTAGTTCAAATGCTCGCCCTGGCACTGGACATCGTTTTCCGTGCATGGTAGACAACTTCACGAGAGTACTCCAACGTCAAATCAGTATGTACCACAGAACTAAATTTATTAGCCAACTCTCATGTGTCTCTGTCACCATGTCACAAACGTCATCAATGGAATGTAAACATTTTATCGTCAAAACAATATGATCGAACTGAAACCCGATTGTTTATTAGGAATACAGCAGCTCCAAAGCATTTCAGGGCCCACAGAAAATGAGACTGTAAGTGTACCCATCTCATTAATAGTCCATAATGAAAGAACTATCATAAATTTTCAGGCTTGATTTCGACCACATATCTTGCCTGAATGGCTCGAGTCAGAACATCATGATCCCTCTGGAACACCTCTTCAGAGAGTATCGCTAAGGAACCGTTCAACTACTGAAGATCTGCAACTTCGGACTTAGGAAACGGTGATAAAAATGATAGGAAATTGATTAGTGAGCTCTCCTACAGTTTTCATTCCTTAGTGAACAGTGCTACAGTGAGTGTATACCATGAATCCTGAATAAAATGTGAGTAACTATCTGTATGTATTATCTCTTGATTTATTTCACTGTGGAAAACCTACTATTTCTGCTTGATAAACCTTGTGTCATTTTGTGAACGTAACAAATTCACTGAACAAGAATTGCAGTACATTCCAGTAGAATGTCTCATTGAATATGCAGATCCTTATGGGCTATTAAGGGTGTGGCACAAACTTCCTCAAGAATATCGCAGCAACTTTAACCTACAAATCAAACTGCCATGCTTCGTTCATTATAATCGTCCCGATTGGACCACACACTGGGATGGACCACCATCTTCTCAAGAGGCATGTCATTTTTGTAGAAAAGGATTACTTAAATAAATAGATTATTTATCTTCGTTTTCGTATTCTTTCACCCCCATGGGCCACCCCGTATATATTTTTTTCAATCTTCATCAACTCAAACACCCTGTATATATTTCTTTCAACTCAAACACTTCTTCCATGCTAAAACATGGGACTGCGAACCGTGGGACACTCTGCATATATTTTTTTTCAATTTTCAATCAACCCAAACGCCCTGTATATGAAAATTCAATCTTGTTATCGTCATTAAAGTCACAGTTTGAGGAATGGGTATACGAGCGCGCGCTTATCATTCTAAGGGATCTCTCGCTTTGCTAGAACTTCGAACGCCATGAAGGTAACGGCATGACGTCACCCACTTTAAAATAAATAAATAATCCAAGTATTCGTTTCCAATACGAGCGCGCGCTTATCATTCTACGGGATCTCTCGCTTTGCTGGATCTTCGAGCGCCATGAAGCGAGAAAGCGTTGCCACACACAATAATGTATCAATATTAACATCCAAACACATACGTCCGACAACGTTGCAGCGCCGAGCGCTCGAGCCTTACTCTACCTCGATAGATCCGTTGCAAAGATAAGCGCGCGCCAGCGATGGATATTATTTTCGACTCGAAGTTTCTTATCTCTGGAATGCATCTCTCGCTTCACTCTACCTCGATGGATCCGTTGCAAAGATAAGCGCGCGCGCCTGCGATGGATATTATTTTCGACTCGAAGTTTCTTATCTCTGGAATGCATCTCTCGCTTCACTCTACCTCGATAGATCCGTTGCAAAGATAAGCGCGCGCGCCAGCTATGGATATCCCGTTTGAATAGCATTAAAATAATTGAAATATCACGGAGGTCAGAATACCACAGTGCGTATATACGCTGCCTCATAATGCAAAGGTCCCTGGTTCAATTCCCCCCCAGCGGTGACAGCTTTTTTTAATTTATTTATTCACGATGGCGACGTGACGTCGTATGAATAATTTGAATTTCGCGCTGGTTTTCAGTGGGCGTGGCCTCCAACCAAATGCTGGTCTCTGATTGGCTTGAGCCAGAACTGGCATAGCCCTTCTACTTCACGCACTGTTCTACTTCGCGCATTGTTTTGTGCAAGGAATCATGGTAACGTAGGAAACTGAAAAAGAAGTGTCACTCCGTAATTTGTTATCAATGCGCGTACCTTGTCATTTCTTGACGTATGTAGAAAAAAATCATTTTTTTTTGTTTCAGACTGGCATCCTCACTGTGATCCTGCTGCCGATTCGTGTTTCGATAATATGCTTCTTCGTCATAGTAGGCTGGATATTCGCCTCCATAGGCCTGTGCGGTCTCACTGAGCAGGAATTGCGTGAAAAGCCGCTAGATGGATGGAGAAAGTAAATTGTTCCTCGTTATCTACATCATGCTACTCTGAATTCTTCGCGAGTATATCGTTCGCTTTGTTTATAGCGTGTATTTATATACCGGATTGTTGTACAAAGTATTTACGTATTCTGCTATCACTCACACTTTCGTTTCCTGATAATTATTCCTACCTATAATGGGCCTGTTTCATTTAATTATTGCCAAGTACTAACCTGAACTAGTTCTTAGAGCTCTGTACATTTTGAAAATAATTCACGATATTTCATTTCATTAAAAATTATTGAAAACGTGGGACGTTGAGTTTATCTCGAACGATGAGCTTACACTATCTTCATATCGAGAATCAGTGGGAAGAAATCCATGTAAATATGCATGAGTATTCTTTAGAATATGCTATCTTCATTCACAATATTTTTGTATCGCAAGAAATATTGCACCCTTTTCACCACCAAATGATACTACGCAATACTTCGCAATACAACGCAATTGATTCTTTCGGCTTTACAGTGCCTTGCGTGTGCACCCTCCTGATCTGCTACGTAGTATCGCAAGAAATGTTATACACTTTTTAACATTCCACAATACTACGCAATGACACGAAATTATACGTAATACTACACACAAAAAAGAATCTCTTGTATTGAGCATGACTGCATTGGTCCAAGAAAATAATTTGTTTGTATATAACGAAAGAGATGATATTCTTGTTCCGAAACAATGATTTATTCAACAACTCTCTTGTAGGAAAATCAAGATATGCATGGTTGGAGACGTTTGTTGTGTTGAAGTGAGAATTGAAATAATTCATATTGACAAAATCATTTATTTATTTCAGGAAAACCATGATTTTGAGATATGGAATCCATCCACCAAATGAAAACAATCATTTTCTCAATTTGCAACTATGGATTACTATTATTGAGAATTGTTCTATTTCATTTCAAAATGAACGATTTATTTAAGTCAAAATTCCGTGAATTTTCAATGAACACATTGATATTTTTGATCCGAATTTCTGAGTTTTTTATAATGAATATTGAGCTCATTCTCTCCAATGGAACTATTTTCTTGTATCAAAATATTGACTGCTTGGATAAAAATATAATGATGTTTTTGATTCAATACTGTGAATGATTCCCAATGAGATAACTAAACTCCAAAGAATATTCGTGAAGAAATATATATTTGTTCCTTTAGTTGACAATAATCCCATGTATAGGTATGTACATATTGGATCAGTATTGTCCATCAAGACCCCAAATGGTTATAGAATAATCACATGCCTTGATTTCGTCTTCTTGAAGTTTCGCTGGAAATGATAACGGTTACCAACAATGACATAAGTATTATGATTGATTAAAAACTCACCTCTATAATATGTTATATCGTGACTCCAGTAATATCATGCCTTCTGGAAGATATCGGGTATATAGATTCGAGATACTCGGCAGGAAACTTTCTCTCACCTAATGTCAAGGTCTTCTCAAGTCTTTGCAAGTCGTTGAAAAGGAATATTCTCAGATAAATTATGAACATACAAAAATGGATATATATTTATATAAAGCAATACATTGAGAATTCGCATTCTCTATGTGATGAGAATATTTACTCTTTTTCAGTTAATTCAATAGAAAACAACTACTTTCCTGGCTATATGCCACGACGAACATTGAATTACATCTATTGAACACACACGATAAGAGTTTGAAATAAAATATAATAATACTTCTTCATTCATCAACCAGTCGTCATTTTGCTACAAAAAAAAATTTCGAATGAATTAATAAGCATATTTTTATAGCAGGATACTACTAAATCCCTGTTATTTTGATTGAAAAATTGTTGATTCACTCACAATGACTATCGATATTTGGAAAGGTACCTACCTACCAAGGGAATTCAATGTTATTCCTTCACCAGCTCTCTAGAAGTTCTGCATTTGTTAGATATTTATATTCTAAGACATTTCCACCTATACACACTCGATAAAACATTCAGAATTTTCATACTCCGCAGCTCCGTTTCGCCGTTGTGGGCCTGTCATAATGATGTTAGCATGGTCAATAATGATTGAAGACTGAGGCCTGAGTTTTGGCAACAGGATTGCTTATCCTTGATTTCCGAGGGCATATTATTTTCTTCCAAAGAAATATCTATTCATAGACTTGAATCAAGTAAATGAAGTATTGAATCAAAATGTGGCTTCTTCAATTAGAGAAATTATTAATATCATCAAGTTCATCAAGTTGAAGATATTATATTCCTTTCATTTGAGAAAATTGATATTCATATATTTGAATCAAGTGAATATGGCATTGAATAAAACTATCAGGAGTCTTCGATTTGAATAAATTATAATACCAATATGATGAAATTAGAATGCTTCATTTGAAGAAATAATTATTTATATTTTTGTTTCAAGAAAATGGCGTATTGCCTCAACATATTAGGTTTTTGCAATTCAAGAAAACTGAATATGTCATTCGATGAAATGGACATTCTTTGATTTGGAGAAATGTATACTTATATTCTTGGATCAAGCTATAAATTAATTGAAACAAAATAGTACGCTTCTGCGAATTGAAAAATCGTTTTGATTGAGTTGAAGTAATTAATTTAGTGATTCAATAATTACATTCTTGGTTTGAGAATATATTTCAATAATATAACAATATTTTCTTGAACATACCAGATTTTTCGACTCAAAAGAATATGCTCAATTCAAAGAAGATATACAATTGAATTTTCAAGAGAATGGGTTTTCTCATTCGAAGAAATTTTTTTTCTGTGTGTACGCAATGCTACGCTATACTATGCAATACTCCGCAATACTACGCAATACTACGCAATACTACGCAATTCTACGCAATACTAAGCATCTCTACGCAATACTACGCATCTCTACGCAATACTACGCAATACTTCGTTATACTTCGTGATAAAGCAATACCACAATACGAGGAATTTCACGCAATACTAGGAGTAATTTAATTTTGGTTCTTTGGGCAGCACAGTGCGCCGCGTGTGTGCCCTTCTGATCCGCTGCGTCTTCGTGGTGGGCGGCTTCAGGCTGAGGGTGGTCGGGCGGCGGACCTCGAGGCCTGGGGCGCCCGTGGTGGCCCTCGCCCCCCATTCCTCCTTCATCGACGCACTGGCTATGGTGTACATGGGGGGACCCTCCATAGTCGCGAAGGGGGAGACCGCTTCGATGCCTTTCTTCGGGAGTAGGTGGATTTTTCTCTTTGCTCTTGCTGATCGAAGATCTGATGATGTTTGTACAGGGTGAGTCGGGATGTGACCGACGAACTGAGGTTTCAGACTAGTATTTTCATTACTAGGATACATTCTGTCTGGGAGTCAGAAGTACATGATTATTCTAGATGTCAAACCAAATTTCACTCAACAATCTCAAAGATATATGATACACATCAACAAGTTATAAGGTAGCAGTTCATATTTATTGTGATATAAGATGATGATTATTTATTCATGATGAAATCAGAGGAAGCAATTTAGAAAACAAAAGCTGATGGAAAGAAAAGGCTGCGTGATACCTTCTGGAGTAATATTTTACTTTGGTCTTAATAAACTACTTACCAGATGAAGTGGGACAGCCAAAAAATTGTCTAATTTTGATAAGCTATAACTCGAAAATTTCTTGGCCGATATTGGATTTTCAACCAAAGGTAGAAAGCGTCATCCTTGGGCTGTGCATCATTGGCGTTGGGTTTTTATTTTTGCGATTCGTTCTCCTTGTACAGAGTGTGAATTAAGAGCCGGAAAAATTTCAAATGTTTGACCAATAATTTGGGAAATGTGGGGGACCCTAGAATTCTTCTTCAGATGTTGGGTGAATGGTTGGTCCGATACCTCGAGACGTCTCTGAAATTTTTTGGATTAACTGCGTTGCTATGGAAAAATCGCCATTTTATGAAATTTCATTTTCAATTTGAAAAATGGCATCTTTAAGTTGAACAATAACAGCAAACATCTAAACTGGAGCAAGGGATATTTCTACTGAAGATAATTAACACCAGTGGCGCGCAAAAAGGGGTTGATGATATTAAGAATCGAAAAATTCGTTGGCATTGAAAAAATTACAACAGTTTTATTGATCGGTACAGTTGAAGAGGTGTCATATCCTCAATCAACACCTAGAATTTTGCGTTTCTAAATATCATAAACCCCTTTTTGCGCGGCACTGGTGTTAATTATCTTCAGTTGAAATATCCCTTGTTGCAGTTCGGATGTTGGCTGTTATTGTCAAACTAAAAGAGGCCACATTTTAAATTGAAAATGAAATTTCATAAAATGACGATTTTTCTATAGCAACGCAATTTATCAAAACAATTTCAAAGATTTCTCGAAGTATCGGACCAACCATTCACCCAACATCTGAAAAAGAATTCTAGAGTCCCTCACATTTCCCAAATCATTGGTCAAACATTTGAGATTTTTCCGGCTCTCAATTCACACTCTGTACAAAGAGAACGAATCGCAAAAATGAAAACCTGACGCCAATGACGCATAGCCGAAGGATGACGCTTTCTACCTTTGGTTGAAAATTCAACATCGGCCAAGAAATGTTCGAGTTACAGCTTATCAAAATTTGACAATTTTTTGGTTGTCCCACTTCGTCTGGTAAGTAGTTTGTTTCGAAACAACCAAAATATCGCTTACTGAGAATATTTTGGAATCCGCTGTATATAGTAGATCTTTCATGATTCAATTTCAAATACTTCAATATAGGTACCTACTCAAGTTATAGTAGGTCTTCATGATTACGGCAATGGCCTAAATCATGAAACACCCTGAATCATTATATCTTCGATTATTTTCTTTCATTTCTAATTATATAACCTATACCTATAGTATCAATATTATAAGAGCCAATGCCAATGGGAAAAAAGATATAAGCTTCGAAATGAGATAGCTATTGCATTCCTCTATCATGATATGCAGATCAATATAATACAGGGTGTTGACAAATAAGTGTCACAACGGAATACTG